CCCCAAAACCCCAAAACCCCAAAACCCCAAAACCCCAAAACCCCGAATGTTATTTAACGAGAGTTTTATTAGGATCTACAATAATTACTTAAAAATATAAGCTCATGCCAGGCAAAATTAGACAAAACAGTAAGTCTACTTTCCGAAAGCATGTGCCTTGCTTTAAGCATCGCTTTATGCCTTCTTTTAGCATTTTATTTGGGGTTCTTAGGCAAAATTAACAGAGTAAATGCTTGTTCTCTCTTGCCTAGCCTTGTATCTCTCCTGCCTTCGGTACACTTGCTACATAGCTAGAGAGTTATCGCTACTGTTCCTAGATGAGTTATCTAACCTTTACTTAGAATATAACTTGGAAAAGAAAGTACCAGCTGACTTTAAACATAAACTTTGGAGCAAAAATAAGGCAAAATCGTTCAAATCTCGTCAAATCAGGGCTAAAACAGATGAAGAGAATATCTTCCTCGAGGCGATGTTCAGAAGAGATCCAAGTTGGGGCAGAAGGACCGTCCAGATCTGTAAGAGGCACTTGAACTTGAAGACCACTCAGATCTACAAATGGGGCTTTGATAAGAAGAAATTGATCAAGAAATACAAGGAAAATCCTGTAACGCTGGAGATCGAAGGCGACATTCAGGAAATGATAGATAGGCTACTCAGAGATGAGGACATTGGCGACTTTGTATTCGAGAATTCCAAGTATATCATGTAAGTTTTACCCCTTCTGACAGTTGTAGTGTCGGTAAGAAGAAACCAGACCAAACCACGCCTAATATTGACTATAACAAGCAAGTCGAGGATCTTTGAAATTCGCTGCTTAAGAAGAGTCAAGAGGAAAATAATATTGATAGAAATGATGCCTCTAAGAGCGATCAAGATGGTAAAACTGGCTCAGAATGGCTAGATCAGATCTGGGATGAGAAATTTGACCCATTTGAATATCTCGGCAACTCACAAAATCATGTATCAGAAATGGATTTTCAAAATTTGTTCATCACCGAAGATACGCAGAGAAATGAAGGAGAGAAAATGGACTTAGCTCCCACTCTCTTCCTCCAATAAGTTAAAGATCAATATTAATGCCCTATTTTGCTCAATATACCTCTTTGTCATCTCCAGCCTATGACTGGAGATGACTGGATCCTTAACTTTTGATATATTCTGGTATTGTTGCTAACCGGCCTGGATTTACAACACTTTTTCCAAAAAGCGCAACGCCGAGAGAAATTTTCTAAACTTCTCATCAGAAATTCAATCAGAATTCTGATACAAGGGGTTTTGGGGTTTTGGGGTTTTGGGGTTTTGGGG